CCAGCTCCAGCTATACCATGGTTGGATTTGGGATTTTTTGACTACGATGGTGCAAAAGCCATATGCGTTCAGTAGAAACTGTACTTCCAGTACCCATATGACCATTTTGTTTTTCATTTTCAGTAGTGTTCAACGAACTACATGAGTTATTCAATACTTTTTAATAAAATAGGTTTGGTGTTAGATGATTTTGCTCAACTGTAGGCTAATGTAAGTATTTTGAGCACATTTAAGTTAGGCTATGCTAAGCTATGATGTTCAGTAGTTTAACTCCAGTAAATACAGTTTTAACCTGATATTCTCAACTGACAATGAGTTTGTCTGGATATAACCCCATCATAAGTGGACGGGCATCTGTACTGCATGATTGCACTTATTTGTGGAATGCAGAAAAGATGAAGTTATAAAAGCAGAGAAGAGAACTATGATTGCCAGTGATTTGGGGGTGAGGAAAAAAGGGAGATGCTGAGCAAAAAAATGCAAAGTTTCAGTTGTGCAGGAGTTTGGAGCCCTAACATAAAACATAGTGTCTGTAGTTACGAAATTATTTATTATACTTGAAATTGGCCAAAAAAGTAAATCTTAGATGTTCTTACCACCACAATAAAGCTAACTACCTGAGGTGATGGTTGTATTAGTTAGTTTGATTGTGGTAATCATTTTACAATATATATGTATATCAAAATATCATGTTGTACACCTTAAATATATTGTTTTTATTTGCCAATTATACCTCAATAAAGCCTGGGAGTGAGAAAATACAAAAGGTCCAGAAAAGCCAAAGTAATCTTGAAAGAGAAAAACAGTAAATAATGTATTGTATAGTTTTATTTATTTATTTATTTATTTTTTGAGATGGAGTCTCGCTCTGTCGCCCAGGCTGGAGTGCAGTGGCCGGATCTCAGCTCACTGCAAGCTCCGCCTCCCGGGTTTACGCCATTCTCCTGCCTCAGCCTCCCGAGTAGCTGGGACTACAGACGCCCACCACCTCGCCCGGCTAGTTTTTTGTATTGTTAGTAGAGACGGGGTTTCACCGTGTTAGCCAGGATGGTCTGGATCTCCTGACCTCGTGATCCGTCCGTCTCGGCCTCCCAAAGTGCTGGGATTACAGGCTTGAGCCACCGCGCCCGGCCCTTGTATTGTATAGTTTTAAATAGCTAGAAGATATTTTGAATGTTCTAGCACAAGGAAATAATAAATGTTTGCTGTGAAGGAAGAACTGATTATCCTATACTTGTTTTGATGTTTCACTCTGTACCCCATAAGTATGTACAACTATTATGTGATAAAAATTGTTTAAAAAAATAAAAAGAGAACAAAGTTGGAAGATTTATGTAACTGCAAGACTTACTATAAAAGTCAACAAATGAAAATGAAACAGAATGGAGATCTCAGCAATAGGCTTACACTTATATGACCATTTGATTTTCAACAAAGGTGCCAAAGGACTTGAATAGAGAAAGTCTTGGCTGGACACAGTGGCTCAGGCCTGTAACCCCAGCACTTTGGGAGGCCAAGGTGGGCAAATCACTTGAGCCCAGGAGTTTGAGACCAGTCTGGGCAACATGGCAAAGCCTTGTCTCTACAAATACAAAAAGACAAAAATTAGCCTGTTGAGGTGGCATACACCTGTAGTCCTAGCTATGTGGGAGGCTGAGATGGGAGGATCAGTTGAGCCCAGGAAGTTGAACCTGCAGACAGAGTGAGACCCTGTCTCAAAAATGAAATAAGATAAAATAAAATAATAAAATAAAATAAAATACAGAAAAAATATTTTCAAGAAATTGTGCAGAAAAAGCTGGATATCAATATGAAAACAATCCCTCAATTTCTACACTATATGCAAATATTTAATTTGAAGTGGACAATTATGGATCCTAAATATGAAAGCTGAAATTTTAAAGTCTTAAAGCCTTTAGACTGGGAGGGGGCATTTGGAAACTTTTTGGGCTAGTGATTATGTATGTTGATTGGGCTTTGGGTTACTCAAGCGTGTGTGTCAAAATTCAACAAATGTTCTGTTATGATTTGTACACTTCATTTTTATTCACCTTATATGTTTCATTGTATGTAAATTTGACTTTAAAAGGAAAAGAGTTATAAAATATAATTGAATTCCTGTTAATGATATGCATACTAAAGTAATTGGGGGAACTGTATTGATGTCTTCAGTTTACTTTGAAATATATTGACTAATAAAATGAAAGAGAAAATGAGTTTTATAAAAATGTTACAGATAGAATTCAGATGGTAAGGTATATGGGTGTTCACTGTAGAATTCTTCTAAAGTTTATGTATGTTTGAACATTTTCATAATAAAAGGTTGAAAAACTAATGAGAATGGCATAAACAACATTTAAGCAATATATTTTGAAATTTAATTCAAATGGTCAAATTCCTGGAAAATACAAACTCCTTTAACTAACAGAATTGGTAGAAAATCTAAGTAATCCCAGTAATCCCAATGAGATCACTTAGACACAGGAAGGGGAACATCACACACCGGGTCCTGTTGGGGGGAGGGGGGAGGGGGGAGGGACAGCATTAGGAGATATGCCTAATGTAAATGACGAGTTAATGGGTGCAGCACACCAACATGGCTCATGTATACATATGTAACAAACCTGCACATTGTGCACATGTACCCTAGAACTTGAAGTATAATAAATAAATAAATAAAAATTAAAATTAAAAAAAAAAGAAAATCTGAGTAGTTCACCATTGTTAAATAAATGGAATGTGCCATTTGAAACCCTCCAACTGAAAATACTACATATAGTTACAATAGTGAATTTTCCCAAGCACTTAAACAATAAACAATGCCATCTTATACAAACTTTTCCAAGTAATAGAAAAGTAGGGAACATGTCCCAATCTGTTTTACAAGGCTTGCATAACACTGATACCTGACAAAGCTGTCAGAGAAAGGACAATTACAGGCCACTTTCTCTCATGAATTTAGATGCAGAAGTTTGAGGTCAGGGATGTATTAAAAAGTCCAGTCTCATGGGCTCCATCTCACATCTATTGAATCATAATCTCTGAGCATGGAGTCCAGTGAGAGATGAGTTTTCATAATTCTAAGTAATTCTGATACAGTTTAAAGACAAGCATTTGTAAATGTTTTTCAAACTTTCTAGGTAACTGAGATAAGGGAACTAATGAATAGACTATTAATATGCAACACAGACGTTTCTTTTTAAAATACAAATTGAAAAAATGAATTTGTGAAATAGTATTTGTTTCCAAATTTGGGGGAGATATAGTGGAAATTCTTGGGACATATGCCCAGCCCATAAACCTGTTCCCCTCTCAACTTCTTTGGGAACATCCTATGCCCATCTGCTGGGGTGCCCCTAAGAGCCGGATTTTTCTATAGGCCAAAGAACAGTATTTTCCACTAGTAGCCAGGGATTCCTGCTCTTGACAGCACTTGATCCCTAACAAATCAGTTCACAACCCTGCATCTCATCAATTACTTTAGAGAGTATTAAGTCTGTTAGCAAGGATGCACAGAAGAAAGAAAAGTCAATGCTTCACATTTAAATTACTAAATAATTTTTAAAACATATAGAATAAATAATAGCTTGAAAGTCAACATTTTTACTGCAATAGTTGGATATTTTGAAATAGAAAAGAGCGCTTTGAGTTGTTTTGTTTGGTTCAGTTTCTAAATGCTAAGAGCCTAAAGGACTTAAGAACATAACTTTTGATCATAAACAGTATAGGAAAGAATAAACCATGGCCTATGAGTCCATTTCCATGCATCTAAAGAGGAGGAGCTTTGGAGAAGCAAAGAGAAGAGCTGTATAGAATATGACCTGTAAGGGTTTTGGAGAAGCGAAGCATCACTCTCCATCCCTCCCTCTGATGAGCTACAGATTGATTAGGGAATCCCAGAGAAACTGGTACTCATTTTCAGCTTCCTGGGGAAGACGGCAAGCCGCTCTGAGAACCCCTGGGTGTCTAAAGGGCAGATAAGGAAGTGAGGTAGGGAGTGGGGGACATGGTGTTACTGCATCCAGGCCAAGGGCACCTGATGTAGCCCAACCTCCTAAGGAAGGCTCCTGCAGTTCTAGGGTTATGGGACAAAATTGAAAATTGTTCTGTGCCATTGAGACAGATGGAGAAGTACCTGAATAAGGGCCAGTAAACCAGAGGGATATACAGAAAGGAAAAGCCATGCTGTTAGCTAACATTACACAGATCATGTGAGCCAGATTTTATAGTAGGAGATTTCAGCAGTGAAAATCAGAGAAAGGGTAATGTCTCAAAAGCTGATGAGAAATACATGTCAGTAGATGTCAGCAGAGGCCAGAACTTGATCAAGCACCAAAGGTCCCCTCTCTCCAATACACAGAATATAACCCCTCCACCCATCCACACCCCCTCTCCAACCTTAAAGAAAATTCCCAGAGGGAGGAATATGGAGAGATTATAAATCACTGGATTGCAAGTGATCAGGTTAAATTAAATCAAACTTTTACGCTGACATTCAAAATCTTGCAGAAATCTGCCTCCAACCTGCCTTACCAACTATGTCCCTGAAACAACCACACACAGACTCTCTAGTCAAGCTGTTCTTTCCTCCACAAACTTGCCTGGGTGTTTTTACTTCTCCATATTTGCTGATGACATTTTTCCTGAGCTCCCCAAACCTCTTGAAATGCCTTATTGACGTCACTGACTCCTAACACATTGCCTAATACGGTCAGCGAATGCTTCTGAGTGAACTAATGAACTGAATGAGAATGAGATGACGAGGGAAAGAAATGAATGACTAGAATGTCCTTCTTAGAATTATCTCCCTGTCTCAAATTTATCTTTCTAGGAACAGATAGCACCTCATTTTTTTTTTTTCTGAGAGAGAGTTAGGGCTGATTTCTGCCACATATTGTGCTAACTCATATTATCAACCATTGCTATTTTATCATGTGTCATCTTGTGTTATTCCACAACTATATAGGTTTGTATGTGCATATGTATAGATGCATAATCACCTCCAACAGCGTAATCCTTTTGAGGCAAACGTTGTACTTTTGGTGAGAACTGAATTAAGTGAATAAATGCAAACTCCTGCAACCGTATCTTCCCCCAACGTTTCATAATGCTAGCCATAAGGAAAAAAATGCAAAGTAAGACAGTGAAACAACCAAAACTACATCTTCTACAGGACTCTCAAGTACTAAGAGAATAACTGAGTTCAGTATTTGTCTCCTATTGCCTTAGAGGAGGACACGGCAAATTTTAACGGGCCATGTTTCCTGCAGCTTTTATGGGAATGTTTATAGAGAAAGGAAGTGCATTAAAGAAAGCAAAAATAGAGAGTGGAAGGTGATAGTCTGCATCTGTGTTGTCACTTTCAGGCCAACTTTGTTGCCAACCCTTGCACTTAAATGCTTACACACCTTTAGGCAGTTTTAGTGGGTGATAGCTATGAAAATGCAAGCTATTGTTTTTGGTAATAACCCGATATTACTATCCCATCATTTAGCGCTCATTAAAGTAAACCAGAAAAGTCATATCGAGAAAACAACTTTTTATGTAGCTTAAAGTGCTACGTCTGAGCGATTTATATGGTTCAATGTACAAGTTTTCCTTTTCTAAGCTATTTTTCTTTATTTTCCAAATTCAATGTCCCAAGCAGATGACTGATTTGGGAAGCAATAGCAATGCATTTCACTGCATTGTACAAGATTCTCAAAATAATATTTTTGAGGAGTCAGTGGTCAAAATAGACATCAATTTGGATACAAAAAAGCAATGGAAATTTAAAAGATTGACGTTTCTATTTCAGGAAATGTACATATTTTATGTGTTTATACTTTTGTTCACATTTTATACTTCGTATTTTTACCCCAGAAACAATAGTACAATCTTTTATATATTTTCCTAAAATCATCAAACATTATATCTGCTCTCCATATTTCCATTCGCTTTGCTAATGTTTATCAATGTAACACTCCCCTTTCTGGTTTTCATTATTTTCATTACAGTCACATAACAAGAGAAAGGAAAAACTAGTATTTGTCTTTGAAATAATAGGTTTTAATTCCCTCTTAAACACAGATTTCTATATTAAAAATATCTAAATTTTTAGAATCAATAGGTGGACTCCAACTAAACATTCTCTTATTAATATCCAGTTTATTTTAATGATTATTAACCATGTTTTAGTCAGTGAATAATGATTTGTTGTTTTAAATAAACCTGAAATTTAATTTTGAATGGCTTGAAAAAAATAGATTGACTTCTACATATTAATTTTTGCCACAAAAAAGCTACTTTACTTTTGAATAATTTATACAGATAACATTTTTATAATGATGAATTTGATTTAGACAGACTATAGGTCTTTTTCAGTGTGTATTTAGCACTTATCTTCTCTAGAAGTGAGGACAGCAAATAATATTTTAACAAGCATATAATCAGACATCCACAATTCAAAGACTTCTGTCTAGTGCTAGCTACCTAAAATAACCTATTACCAAAGCCTTTCTTTACAACGTACTAGAATAATCTATTTTCTTCTTAATTTTGTTACATAAATTTATTAGGAGCTCACCAATATCCTTCGTTTTCAGGCTTCCAGCAAACATAAATGTAGGTGAGAAAAAAAGAATGAGTTAGTTCTTTTTTTTTCTTATGCTGAATTTTTAGTATCTTCTAAAACCAATAAATATTTGTCCCCACATTTTTCATCTAAGAAAGTACATAGGTTAAAGGACTGGAGTGAATTCTTTTCATGCAGATTTCTGTGATAGTAGACATACAGATTGCTGGGAAAAGTCGCCACTACTGCCCACTGTCTATGTGAAAGTTCCCAAAACCCCGCCTTGAATCACAGTAGAAAGTCTGAATCGTTCACTGAGAGGATTAAAAACTTGTTCTGGGCATATAAACAGATCTGTTCATATATACTATTTTCTTCATTAAGGTGTTTTTTTGAATTTAATTTAAATTGCCTCCTTTAATATACAAATGTCCCTGAACTCAAGAGTACATGTCAACTTCCCATGTGAGCCCTTCTTCGTTGTACCTCTAAGCCTGGAGTAACTGAGTTTTGACCTCAGCACAGTCCCACTGTCAACATCAGGGAACACTGGACTGTTAGCTGTGGCTGAACTCAGACAAAAATACTCCAAAAAATACTTCTGTATTGTTTTTTTCCCCCACCCCCGTGATAGGCTTCCACTGACTGTTACACGTGATGTTATTTCCACTTAATCTTTTCTACTAAAGTTTTCTCAAATTTCGTATTTTTCCATATTTTATTTGTTATACTCTAAAGTCATTCATTTATTTTACCTGTGTTATCGCACTTTAAATTCACTCATTTAAGTACAGATGTAATTAGGATTCACTTTGGAAATTAAAGCATATAACATTCACAACATAGGTGAAAATAGTCTCTACGGAAAATCTTGATTTCATAAAATAAAATATATAATCTACAACCTTCAAATAAATGAAAGTTAATTTTTCCCACACAATCTATATGCCATATTCTAAGCAGGAATTACCTCCAACTTATGTTTTTTATTTTTACCCTCATTATTTCCTAATTTTATTTTGTAACACCAGCCAAAATCTGTACTTAACTCCCAGATTCTTCTTGAATATCTTCATAGAACACTATAAAGACATATAAATACACTTCTATATATTTCTATATATAAATATATTGCTATATATAAATACATTTAAATATATTTCTATATATAAATATATTTTTATACATTTCTATATATAAATATATTTTTATATATTTCTATATATAAATATATTTCTGCTAATAAACATATGAAATAAATTTCTGTTAATAAACATATGAAAACTTTAAATAATCACTTTATAGTAAACAAAACGTCTCAGAGATTTTCAATGTTTTAATAAATCACGCGGTGCATTTCTCACATCCTAATTTTAAATTTTAAACAGTAAAAGAAATACCTTACCCCAAAAGTTTCCTGGCCATGGACTCCCTAAACTTGTTGTGTTATTAGCCATAATATCCACAAGAAATAGAAGAAAGAGAAGAAAAAGAGAAAGAAAAACCAGTATGTCGATAAAAAGCAGTTCAATTCTATGTCTTTGTAGTACAGCAAGAGAAAAATAATTTTTACACAACCCCTCATATACTTGTGTTGGCATAAAAGGAAATAAGTGTATCATGTTTCCTGCTTTTATACTGAAATTAGCAACTGTTTTTCTTATCTTGGAATTCCACATGGTTCCTGAGACACAAAACAATGTCCTTTTCATCATTTCCTCAGCTAAGTTCCTAAGTTCTCTCTTCTCAGCCACCTCCAAAACTGCTTTTAGGATAACAGAGGGGTGTGTGTGTGTGTGTGTGTGTGTGTGTGTGTTTTCTCATCCCATACTGACATAGAGAAGAAGACTCCAAACTCTCAGCTACAGCACCTTGAATTAAATGTATACAGAATTGAGAAATAGACCACGTTCCAATGCGTGAAAGCTAGATTTATATAGTAAATTTGGGGGAAGAACTATTCAAAACTCAGATACTTACTGAATTCTTTGTTGTTGTTGTTGTTGTTGTTGTTGTTGTTGTTGTTGTTTTTGAGACTTAGTCTCGCCACTGTCGCCCAGGCTGGATGGAGTGCAGTGGCATGATCTCGGCTCACTGTAACCTCCGCCTGCCGGGTTCAAGTGATTCTCCTGCCTCAGCCTCCGGAGCGGCTGGGATTACAGGCGTCCACCACCACAACCCGCTAATTTTTTTTTATTTTTACTAGAGATGGAGTTTCACCATGTTGGCCAGGGTGGTCACGAACTAGGCATGACCTCAAGTGATCCACCTGCCTTGGGCTCCCAAAGTGCTGGGATTACAGGCATGCGCCACTGCGCCAGGCCACCAAATTCTTGACATGTCTGTTTCTCTATTTGGTATACTAATTTTGAAAGTTATTTCTTTAATTCATTTCCTAAATATCTAAGTGTAATTTATATACAATTTGTGTTACTCTTTACTTAGTATTTAGTATGAAAAAACAGTTTCTACATTGAAGAAATATATTTAAAATCAAGGAGGGAAAACATAAATGCAAAATTTTTCATTACAAAGTTTGTTAAGTGCTATAGCAAGGGGTGTAGAATGTGAACTGCTATGGCAAAGGGTACAATGATCTCAGGAATATGTTTTTCATAGCGAAGTTTGAGAGCTGATATAGGAAAGAGTTACATGAAACATTTTGAGAGACACAGGTTAGTTTAAATTTCAAGAGTCTTTCCGCAAGCTTTGCTTGTTTAGACTGGATCCTCTGAGGACTGGGAGCCACTGGAAATTGTGAATAACAGTGTCAAATTGCACCTAATAACTGCGCTAAACTGCATTCCACGATCTGGCTTCATCAATCTTTGAGTATCTCTAGCCTGAACTCTTGTATATATCTTGCACTAATCATATTCTAACTTAATAGTCATTAGAATATGACTTAGTGCAAAGTAGTATTCCTCTTTGTGAAGTCTGTAATATATTCCCAAGTAGTTCTAAGAAAACAACAAAAAAAAGACAGTTATAATAATTTTTGCAGTCCTGCTTCTTCCAAAATGAGGTTGTTTCTGATCAGTCTCATTTTTTTGTGAATTTAAGTATAAATGTATTAGAAATTAAAATATAAATCATCTAAGATAATTATAAAAGTCATAGAAAATTTGGAGAATTCACTGAGCAAATATATTCACCTCTGTAATATTCTTGCTAAAGTTTATTTTCAAATAATCCAGTAAATAAAAACTCCTACTATTACTTAACAGACAAAAAGGGCTTACATTTCAACAGTTGTCTTTACCTTTCAATATTGTTAACAAAGTTCATAAAAATAGAAAATTAAAAGAACATGTTATTTCTGAAAGAAATGTAATCTGGATGAAAGTATATTGAACTACTAACCACTTTACTGTTCTAAAAGCATCGAATATGATTCTTAATTACTAAATGTATTTTTAAATACACATTTTGCATTATTAAAGGCTACCTGATTGCAATAAATCCTAATTTCAAAGGTGTATATAATTTCCCAAACACTGCATAGGTTGCATTTTCCTTAAAATAGACCAAAATGAGTGGAATGGGTAACTGACATTGTCAACTGCCTTCTGTGCAGAAACAGAGCTCATTCCATTTCAGGGCTGGGATACAGGCTGACACTTCCTTTCATTGTTCTATGTTTAACTATGCAGATTTTCTCCCAATAGGTTTTCATTTTTGCAGATGGCCAGAACCCAGTCAAAACTCTAAAGAAAATGTGTTTCTTAAATCAGTTTATGACCTAGGAATAACTTGCCTGTGGGTAGCACTGGCTCTTGTCCATGTACGTAGTTTGCTTGGTAAGGATTCGTACCTTTCCCTGGCACAGATCCATCTAAGTGAATGTTGGTGTCTATGTGATTTTTGAGTCCCATGACTTGTCATGCCATAACAGGAAATTGATTTTTATCTTCACAAAACTGTTAGGTTTGCTTTTCTACTGCTCATTATTTCACAACCTGGCTCTTTAGGTCTGGGTTCTTCAGTGGTCATAAAATACATTGAGAAGTTTGTTCTTGCCTCAGATATTCACAGGACTTCCTCACTCTCCTCATTCAGGTCTCTGGTCAGAAGTCACCTCTTCAACAGGCACTCTCTAACCACCTGTCTAAAGTGTTCCCACTTGAACCATGCTCTGTCTCCTGACCCTATGTTATTTATCACTCTCTGACATGATGCTATATATGTGTCTTAGTCTGTTCCAGCTGCTGTAACAAAATATCCTAAACTGGGTGGCTTTAAAACAACAGAAATTTATTTCTCACAATTCTAGAGGCTGGGAAGTTTAAGATCAAGGGGTTGGCAGGTTGGTGTCTGTGAGGGCTCACTGTCTCGTTGACAGTCATCTTCTCGCTGTAACCCCACACTGTACAAGGAGTGAAGGGTCACTTTCAGCCTCTTTTATAAGGACACTAATCCTATTCATGAGGGCTGGATAACTAATCACTCCCAAAGGTCCTACCTCCTCCTACCATCACCTTGGCGTGGAGGATTTCAACATACTAATTTTGGGGGAACATAAGCATCCAGGGTATGTAAAAATGCTTTGCTTTTTTGGTTGTGTTTTGTCTCTTCCACCAGAAATAAGTTTCATGAGGGTAGGAGCTTTATTGATTTTGTTCACCAACTGAACTCCAGTGGCTAAAATAGTGCCTGGCTCACAATAGGCTCTTCATAAATATTTATTAAATGGGGAAATGAAATAATTTGAAGGGATCTCAAGATGAAAGTATTTTGGACACTCCAAGTTAATGAAAGTGTCACTTAACACTAAAAAACAAGTAAAAAATCTCTATTCACCTGCATTTTAATATTTTTAAATTGTAACTTATAACTTGATATCAAATGATGCAAAAGAACATCATCACATTTAAGAGAAGGTACACATTTGACATTGAATTTCCTTTTTTAGCTTTATCTTTTAAAAATATAATAGGTTTTATCTTCCCAATATTAAATTGACTCAGTTTCACTAAACTGGGAGTACTCTCAGAACCTATAAGAACTCCCCACAAAAAATTAAATTTTTAAATCTATTTTTTAATTCAAGTTTTTAGAAAGTAACTAGGAGGATGAATAAAAATATGAACATGTCATTTTAACAGAGTTATGCCTTTTTTCTTTTATGTTTACACGGTATAAATGTTGGTCTTCATTTTCTTTCTCCTTAAAGTCATTCGCTTTGGTAGGGAGAATGACAAAATTAAGAAGAGAGGTGATGATGACAACATTAAAATAGAGGTCAGGTAATAAATGTGAAAATCTAGCTGTTAAATTTTAGGATTTTACAAACTACAGTGGAAATAAAGATAATTTCCCAAGGTCAGTGTCACCAATTTTTTTTCTCATTAAATAAGACTTCATGAATGTCTGATTGTGGCTATGGAAAGTGATGATCAGATTTGAGAGGGAAATTGACTTAAATCTGAACAATGACAGTCAGAGCTAGAGCCACAGGGAGAAAGTGCTGAAATCAGTTCTGATAGTTTTTTGGTTGAGTCTTCAGGGTTTTCTACACATACGGCTAAACCATCTGCAAATAAAAATATTTTTACTTCTTTTTTTCTGATGTGTATGCTTTGATTACATTTTTCTTCTCTAGTCTCTGACTAGACGTCCAGTACTATGTTGAATAGATGTGGCAAAAGTGGGCATTCTTGCCTTTTTCCTGATCTTAAAGGAAAAGTTTTAAGTTTTTTTCCCATTGATTATTATGTTAGCTGTGGGCTTTTCATATATGGCTTTTATTGTGTTGAAGTATATTATTGCTATATCTGTTTCCCTGAGGGGCTTTATCATGAATTGATGCTGAATTTTCTCAAATACTTTTTCTTCATCTATTGAGAAAATTATGTATGGTTTTTAAGCTTCATTTTGCTAATGTAATGGGTCACATTGATTAACTTTCATATGTTGAATTTCCTTTCATCCCAGAGACAAATCCCACTTGATCATGGCGTATAATCCCTTTAATGTGCTCTTGAATTTGGTTTGCTAGCATTTACTTAGGATTTTTGCATGTATTTTCATCAGGGATATTGGCCTATATTTTTCTTTTTTCGTGGTAGGTTTGTCTGGCCTTGGTATTAGGGTGATGACCTCGTAAAAT